AAAATAGGAAATGGAAAATATAATTTGCGATGTAACAAAAATATGAACTAGATTCTTATTTCGATCTGATTCAGCTCCGTCTATACTACCGATATAACAGAATACTAACGGGGACATCACACGGTGTACCATCGATGATTCAAGGAAAATTGTTGGCGAATAGAATTTTATTAGTATACTTTAGACGAGTGAATCTGAACTGTAATCCCAAAACTGATAAAAAGTGAAATATTTTTGAAACCACTGCTCAGTTCTCGCATCGATTTTTCTGATAAAACTTTGATCACGTTGACCAGTTAACTGCGTTCGATAAGTATAATCATCTTAAACCTCAACACGACACTAATTGTTTCAACAATCAATTATGTCATTTTTTCGTATAAACATGTAATTGTTCTTCGTTTTGCTTTAGTTTTTTGTCAGAGTATAAGTCCTGCATTATTCGAATGTACACTTCATTGTTTGATTTTATTGTGCGTACAATAAGAAATTTTCGAAACTAAATTCCACAGTTGACAGGTTAACCAATGACTTTCCAATTGATGCACTGTCGCCTGACGGAGAAAAGTACAATTAATAGAATCGCTTGATGTAGCGAAACATGAATAACAAGTATCAGGGAAAAAACGTTCTACGATTCTCCATACCGCAACTTGTCGAGGTAAACGGCTGTCTCTCGCATGGTGCGTCACTATTTGCGGGTGCACTGATCTGACTCATGCACGCCACAGTTGACCGACCCTCGTAACTCAAGATGTGTCTTAATTGTTAATAACTTGGAAACGAAGTCGAGACAGCAATTCTGTCACTATCGATTTTTGTATTATTTTGGAATCTGGGATCACTTCCCGTCTTCCCTAAAGGACTCTGAACTCTCCAGATCCCCAAAGATTTTTTCGCGTTTAGTTGAACACCTTGTATATACATATGGAATCATCAGATTCTAAGAAAACACTGATTCATGGCCCAAATTTGGTTCTGACTTCTTGAGAAAACTAAATATGGATGTTTTGAAATAATATATTAAGAACTAAACATATAAATAATATTAATAATAATCTGAGATACAGTAGAATCAGAAATAAAAAACACTGTATCACCGGTTAGGATAATCGAGAGATTGGACAACTAAAGTTTGGATAATTGCGGCTCGAAAATATATTAACTGTAAGATTTTGAATAAATGTCAAGAAATCATTTATTTGTTCAAAGTTGTGTATTTGGATCATATTTGTCTACGTTTACCTTCGATAGGTAATGAATTATAATGCTGAACCTAGCGACTACAATTGCCAAGCAAAACAGATGAAAATACCTAAGTTTACTTCAAAGTAAGACACTTCAAAACTTTATTATTCATTTGTGTAGTGTATATATTTAGTAGCTTTAATGAAATTGTGAAAATGACGGAAATGGAAAGAGAAATCGAGAGAAAAGAAAAGAAAAGAAAAGAAAAAGAAAGGAAAGGAAAGGAAAAAAAGAAGGAAACGTTTCGTCTCGGTCCGCTAATGAGTTCATCGATAAAGTTATCTTGCAGATCCTGTTTCAAAGGATAGCTGTAAGGTAGATTTTATCTTAAGAGATGATATTCGATAATATAGCTAAATATTTTTTCTATTGTATATTTTAAGATGCGTCAACCTCATTTGGTCATTAGTAACTACTTTAAATTGGGCAGATGATTATCTATGTATATGATCATATTCTATATTCCTTACCCGTGGATGACTGATTAAATTAAGTGTACTATTTTGACTTCTTTCAGCAATTTTAAAATAGTACAGTATGAGTAAACTGTTTGGGTTACTTCTTTAGGGTATTATTTTATTTGATATTTTCTTCTTTCCACGCGTTCTCGACAAATTTTCAAAGTTATCTTTTTCAAAAACAGGTTCACACGAACAAATTTTATTCTACATTTTCGATTCAGTTTTTTACATAGAATTTCCTCCTGCTCGCTTGTACCAGCAGTTACGGGACATCCTGTACATTTCCGTGATTGAAAAATTACAGACTTCAATCGTTCGTTTTCATAATTTCATCGTTTAATTTTATTTAAAATATTTCTGTTAATATTTATAATATCTAGATATATGGCGTAAAATAAAAGTTGCAACTTGTGCTATTTTTGCGTGCCACCAGTTATCTTATAGGAACATTTATTTTATTCCCATTTGGCATACAAAAATAACACTAGCATATTAAATAACAATATTCTAATTATGATTATTTATTTATTTTAATTGAAACAAAGTTACAAAATATCGCGATGAAATTGATGATAAAATAAAGCCCTATTATAGTTCATATTTATAATAACAATGAAAGTAGTAACACATTTAATAACTTTATATTCATTATGAAAGTTTTATTAATCTTTCGTAAGCTCTACGTCGGTTTGGTATTCACCGCTATCATCGAATTTCTCTTTTCTGTTTCTGGTTCCTTTCGAAAGTTTAATTTTTTTATCGGGTATACAGGTTATTTTATCTGGAAAATCTGAATGAATGATTCGATATATTCAACTGTTTTAAAAACGACAGATCCTAAAAGATTCTAAATGCACTGTTTCCTTCAATTTTTCTTCCTTTCGTTACGACTGACAATAAGGTAACTCTGGGAGTAGGTATGGCTTTACATCTTTACATGCGCCTAACGTATTTACAACTCAACATGTTCTGATATTTTCGTTTATTTTTGTAGAAAAAATAACAAAAAAGAGATTCTAATAGCTCCTCGATAGAGAAGTTTAAAACGTTACTTAGCGGAAAGCCTCGATAGATGTTTCACGGGTTATCTAATGAAACTTCGCTGTAGTACCACGTAAGTAGTAGGAAAGGCGGTTAAAGATAATGAAATGAAACTTTCAGGAAATATACTTATCCGAATGTAGAATTTTCTCCGGTTAGCGTCGCGCGAATCAAGAGAGTCAGTAAGACAGCACGAGGTAGTGGCAGTAATTTCATTTCCGCTCTCATTAACTTGGTTGTCGTGCGGACGTGCCGACATTTGTGACAGTTTCTCGTTTCTTTCGTTTTGTCGTTTGCGTGCCCAATGCTTTTTCGCCGACATACAGGGCTCGTGAATCGAATTAGGCGAAACACGACATTCGCCATTCTTAGCGCGTTTTAACTAATTGTAAGTAGTTATGAATTAGCAAGTTCTACTAAGTAACATTATGCAATTATTATTTGAGGATTATTGTTCAACGAAAATGATTAGGTCATTTTTTAACCCATCATGCAGCGGTCGTTTAAAATTAGATTCTGAGAAAATCTATGCCGAAAGACCGGGAATATAGAATTATATATTCAAAAGTGCTTACTTGTAAGATGGTCACGAAAAAATAATTAAATTTTTCAAAAATTGTTAAATAGTTGAATCGGCACTTTTATTACTATTTGGTCACCTACAGTATTTTTTAACTTGCCAAAGATCTGCATGTACATATTCATTGTTTGATTATGCTGATTTTTGGAAATTTATATGTACGTTATAAGGTAAAAGTACCAGTAGTTGATCAGTTAAGACAAATCTTCTGCGTGAATAATAGTTATATAATAATAGCTTGCTCCTTTATTAAATAAAGAGACTCTATGCGTGAAAATGCTGTTTCAATTTCTTACATTATCTAACAAAGCGAATTTTTCTGAAATGGTTATATCATCCAAATTGAATAGACATCTTGGAAAATTATATTATAATACATGCGTCAGAAATCGACCATCCTTGTAAACAAGGAAGCTAGTAACTGACCAAGTGTTAGTAATTGATCACAAAACCAAAAACACTAAGGGTGATTTAATATACTAAGATACTTTAATATCGTTTACTTGCAACGATTATGACAAATTACAAGTAAAAGGACAAATATAAATAAAAAGAATGCTGCAGCATATCTATCGCATCTTCATCGATAAGATTATTACTTTTAAAAAGCTTAGTCTTTACGTTTTCCTGAAACATGGTCTATTAGTGGTACATTTACCCTATCGTGATAAAAAGTCACCGGTTTTTAGCGTTAATTTGGTTAAAACCGCGGCGATGCATAGTGTGTTAATGTGAGACGATTATAAGTCATCGGAGAGCCTATTAAATAGTGTCCGGTCAATAAAGTGTTAAGGTTTCGTTTTGCACCTGTCAGGCGTAAAAATGCGTCATGGTCAATCTACGTATTTAAAAACAGCCGCTACACATATTTCGTTACTCTCGGTCATTGGTCGTCGGAGAAATAGTGCGTGTTATATTGTAAATACTTGAAATTTTGAAAGTGTGAAGTACTTTTAGATGTTCGCTGTGAGTATATTTATTAAGATGAGCGAATCCAACGAGTAAAATGGGAAGTGTAAATATAAAATTAATTGTGAACAAGAAACTGTTCTCAAGTGTGATTTTACGTTTGGATTTCGCATAACTTTAGTAAACAATTTTAGAACACCGAGTAAGTAGATAAAATTAGAGATTCATTAATCGAGACTTACATCTGTCCCGTAAATAGAGCCCGCGAGTACAAAAGAAAAGAAAATATTGAAGAGAAAATCTGGTATAAGTTGTAGAAATACATATTTATCTCACACAATTCGACAAAAAGGTAATAATAATAATATTTCAGAAAACAAAAGTAAATTTTATTCGGTGTCACTAAATTTAGATAACGTAATTTGATATCGCGTAAACAGTGTTATAATTTACCGCATAAAAAGAGGCTAAAAAAGTGACGCGTAAATGGAGGACCGGGTGGGAATACACTCATCGGTTAATAAAGGAATTCTCAATGTAGATTTTCTCTGGATATCGTTTTCGTTTGTTTCTAAAATTTTGTAATGTTCGAAAGAGACGGATTTCTTCGAAATTTCTCGTTACCGGCAATTAATCTATATTTAATAAAACATAACTTTTATATATTTTGACGGTTTGAGAACATTTTCGATTTTCATTGAAAGCTTACGATAATATTTCATGAAAATGTATTTTGTATAATTTTTACACATAAAACGGTGACATTAAGTAACATAAATGTGCACAGCATAATCACGTAGCTTACAATCAGTTACATAAGTTGATATTACATTTTTCCATTATATGTATTTCGCTTCGTGAAATTGTCTGATATTTGACGAGTTAAATACATAATTAAAGTGCTATATTAAACTTTAGTTGAATTAAATAACGTATATAGAAATTCTATCAAGTAGAGGATGTCTACATTATCATTAATCCTTTGAGGTCCGAACTGTTTTTGATTTTTCATTTTAAAATTAATCACGCCATTTTCGATGTTTCTTAAATTTTTATTCAATTATTATTTGTATTGCTAGTTGCCACATTGTACCGAAGGAAATACCATTGTAATAAAGAAGAATAGGATAGACGCATATCGCAGAGCTGTTGCGAGCATAGGAAGTAAAAAATAATCATGTGGTAAAGAAAATTTCAGTTATGATAATTTCAACTTTAACTGTTCAAATGCTAATGAATTGTTGAGATTCTTCCGATTAAAATAAGCCCACACACCTTAAATGGGACCAATTTGATCGATTCCAAGTAAACGTAGTATATTTAATTTCGTTATTTATAATTCATAAGTCGACAAAATTAGCCGATAAAATATCTCAATAATCCATTGGTACTAAATGTGACAAGGTGAAATGAAAATGAGTAAAATGGAAATTTTTTTTATTATTTGATTATTTTTTACATTCCTTTCGCTTTTTTCGCGAATGACTACTCTCGCTTTGTCAAATTGTGCTACAATCAGTTCTGGAAACTCTTAAAAGAAAAATGCCACCCTGCTCGTGGTAAATTTTAATGCTCGGTTTCGAATTTATCAAATTAAAGCGAGCACTGCTATAGTACGTTGCAAATATGTGTTAAAGTTTATGATGTCGCGATATTTAACAAAGAAAAGCATGGTGTGGTCATCGAAAACAATGATATCTCGAAATATATTTAGTTTCCAATGATAATATCTGAACTTCTTTTATATTTTCAATTTAAAAAGTGAATTTGCACTTTACAACTGCATGAATACATTTACGACAAACCTGGTATTGTAATATGATAGATATTTTGGTCTGGCTTCATCCGGAATAGAGTTACAGCTTGCCCCGGTTACTAAATACTCCCTGTATAGAAAAACCTTCACCTCAATATAAAAATCCATTGGATAATACTGCAGCTTGCAAAAATGTCATCCTCTGTTAATTTTCGAAGTAATTACAAAAAACTGTAAATGCCAGTACATTGAATTCTATGTGTATGAACGTGTCTGGATTTTCTCCCATTTCATTTATCACATAAAAAAATATACGAGTATGATCGAAAAATTCCCGGTATTATTTGACCTCTTGCCCTATGATTTATTTCTCAAAATAAATAACACTCAGATTTATCGAATTTAGTTTAAAATTTTCGTCACAAGGCTAACAGGATATTGTAGGTCAAGGGATTAATGTCGGACACCCTGTATATCCGAATGAACCTACCTTCTGTTACAATGTCCATACACATGCCTATAATGTACTTTCGAGTGCTGGCGACCTGGCACTCTCGTCTGAGTGGTCCGATTCGGAGGCACACGCCTCGCCCACACGGATTTTCGATTCTGGTACATGATTCGCTCAGGCGCTCACGCACACTTATCGAGTCGTGCGACAAAGAGCACGAAGAGCCGTTTCCGGACTCCCAATTGGACTTCTCGGAGCAACTGTTCTGCCCCTATGACGTCACGAGTGCCAGGTTCCCAGCACTCGACGTGTGTATCTCTATGGTATCTCATGAACGGTGACCGTTATCACGTGTACATGTGTCAGTTTGATGAATAGCAATTTTTATATCTTCTCAGATTTTAGCTTTCTGAAATGTTTCTATCTTCTTAAGAAAACTCATTTCGCAAAGGAAATTTATACGAATTAACTATTTTCTTTACTCGGATTACAATTTGGGGATCATCATATTTAAAATTATACACTATTCGTGAAACATATTGTTACGTATGTAGCCATAACAATTAAAGATTCTATAACATGTAAACAAGAACGAGTTTTTCAAATCTCGACGTTCAGTATCTTGTAAACCATTTGAGGTAGCAGATTAAAGCTTCATTATAAGTTTGAAAACAATTGATGACTATGCGACAAATTTTTCGTTCATCGCTGTTCATCTTTCTCGAAGTTTTGTCCGTTGTGACCGGGCTGTAGTACAGTGTAAGGACAGAAATGAGTCTTTATTAGGGCTGCTAAAGTGCAAAGTTAACGAGGGGGCACTGTAGCGGGATGACCTCATTACACTTTATTGCACCTATCTCCTCAATTATTATATCATAAGCCTGTGCGGATTCAAGACAGCTGCGAACGACCAGTGTACCATTATTTCGGCTTTTCCTCGTAATTGCTGAAAATGTGTTTCCACTGCGAATACGACAAATTTGGAAGGCCAAAATCATCATTGTTGATACGATAGACGATATTACCTCTACCGCTATCACTTTGTAAGCGGATAGTCCAATATTGAACCTATAATATCTAGTCAAACTCGTGGTAAAGATTTTGTAATGAATGCAACAGATATGAATACCTACCACTTATTATTAGGTTATGTCCATTGAAAAAAATACCGTTTTTAGGTTAGGAACGTTTAATTTTTCTAGAATGAATATTTCATTTCTGTTATCGTTGACAAATTATTAGACAACACCTAAGTTAATGTTTGTTGAATAATCTTTATTCCATGCATAGAATGTCGCAAATCGATATTAATACTAGAACAACCAGGATATTGATTGATCATATTAATGAATTTTGATGTATCGAGGTATTTGTATATAGAATTTTAAGATAAGAGTGGTCAATGAAAAATATATTGGCATATACTTACATATGTATATTCGTTTCTTTATTTTGTCGAAAGTCGACATAAATTCCAATAAGAGGGCCTCAATAGCTTTCCCAATGTAAACCAAGAAATTTGAAATTCGTCATTTTGACACACTTTATTTTTTTCTTTCTACCATTAAAGAATGATACTACCATTAGCTGGACTTTAAATTTATGGACAGTTTCATTTACAACCTGAACTGTTTCATTAATTTATCGTACTATAAACATGTGTCTACTGCGAGCATAAAACAGGTGCAGTAGTGCCTCTTTCATGTTTTCAAAGTGAGGACTGCGGCGTGAATGTTATCCGAGTGAGTAGCGCTGCCTTTAAAACTACCGGTTGTTATATTCATAACAACATATGATATGTTATGATATGTAAACATATGATTATTGTATATAACATTATAAAATAAAATAATGTTGGCACATATGTATTCCAAAATGTGTGAAAGTTTCCTTTTGTCATATTTATATGTATGATATAACACAAGTTTTATTTACTTGGAATCTTACCGGTAAAGTAGAACACAGAAATATCGAATTTCTTTAAACTTCATCAAACTCATTATCGATAACGATTAAAAATAAAAATAAAAATTAGTAAAGCCATATTTGATTTTAAATATTTAAGTGAAACCTACTAATCGTAGCTGGGACAAATATAGTATTTCAAAACTAGCATGATTTCGAAGTTAGTGTTGGACACTGAAGTACTTCGAATCGCTTCGAATCTGAGCAAGTGACGGAAAAATCGAATTATTTTGAATATAATTAGGTTTCATAAAAGGTCTTAAAAGATTTGGTAATTTCTTGAATTTATTTTTTTATATTTCCACTGTACATTACAATTTGTCCAGGATGGACATTTGGAAAATTGTTTTAGTAGTACTTGGGGATGTACCACGTAGATACTTTCTCAGCAGAATGCAACTATATAGTAATCGCCCGTTTTGTTATGGGGAGAAGATCGTTCGGGCGTTTTCTGTGTAATCCTCTGGGAAGATCTTCTGAATATAACTTATTTGCTACGTCACTTGGCTGATTTTCTAGTCTCGTTTTATGTCTGTCACATAAATCTTTTATTTCCTTTTCGACTGATCTGATCATAAGATCGTTACGTAATTGTTCGTTCCTCACATACCAGGGCGCGTTTACAATGGTTCTTAGTATGATGGATTGCACTGCTTCTATTTTTGCTATATGACTTTTGGCTGCCATGCCCCATAATGCTACCCCATATGTCCAAATGGATTTCATTATTGTTTTGTATATGAGGAGTTTGTGGCTTATGTTTAACTTTGCGTTTTTATTGATGAGCCAGTACATCTCTCGTTTCTTAATGCGAATTTGATCTATTTTGGCTTTTATGTGTTGTTTCCATGTTAGCTTTGTATCTATGTGTATACTTAAGTATTTCACTGTGTTGGTTTGGGGAATGAGATCATTGTTTAAAGTAACAGGTGGAACAGTATTTTTTCTTAAGGTAAATGTGATATGTTTGCACTTTTCAGGATTTACTTTTATTTTCCAGTTGCTTAGCCATTGCTCGATTTTTAAGACGTGTTGTTGGAGGTCGGATTGAGTTGTTTTAAGATCACAGTGAGCAGCTAGGATTGCAGTATCCGCGAATATAAATATTATGGTTTCGTGAGTAGTGAGGATTTTTGCTGTGTATAGCGTGTATAATATAGGCCCCAGTATACTGCCCTGTGGTACTCCTACTTCGATATTACAGATTTCCGAAAGCAAGTCCTGAATTTTCAGAAAGAATGTTCTATCCTCGAGGTACGATTGTAATAGTTGATGGTAGGATGAGGGAAAGTTTTTCTTGATTTTAAGCAAAAGGCCTTCATGTCATACTTTTTCAAAGGCTTTTTCTACGTCTAGAAAAAGGGCGGTGCAGTACTTTTTTTGTTTGAATGAAGAAATGATTTTGTTAACTAATCTATGTACTTGCTCAATAGTCGCATATTTATTTCTAAAACCAAACTGGTGGAATGGTATTAGATTTTTCTCGTAAATTATTTTGTTCATTCTAGCTAGTATTATTTTTTCAAGTATTTTGGACAGTAAAGGAAGAAGCGAGATCGGCTGATATGATGATAGCACATGAGGGTCTGTTTTTGGTTTCGGTAACATAATATCTTGTGCTATTTTCCAGATGGCAGGGAAGTATTTAATTCTTAGTGCTACATTAAAAATTGTGGTGAACATTTTCAGTGCTTTTGATGAAAGTTCTTTTAGAATTTTCCCGCTGATTAGATCAACTCCAGGCGTCTTTTTATCTTGGGTTCCTTTGATAAGTTTAGTGACCTCTCTTACCGCGGTTGGTGTAATATTTTGGAAGAAATACGACTCTTTTGAGGAGTGTGCGGTTTCATTGGAAATGACTACATTAGTATTAGTTGTATTTGGTTTAAAAGTGTCTTGAAGATATTCGGCGAAAACGTTTGTTTCTTCGAGAGAACTTCTAGCCAAGTTGGAGGCACGCTTTTTTATAGCAGGTAGAGCAATGATTGGTCTTTCTAATCTTCTGGTTGCTTTCCATAGTGAATAATTCGTACCCTCGTTTGGTGAGAGATTTGTTATATAGTTGTGAAATTCTTCGTTGCAGTGATTTTGTATTAATCGCTTCAATTCTTTGGTAATGGCATTTAATCTTCTCCTGTTGAGCTGTTTTTTTTGCTATATGCTTTTATTTTACGCTTCATTATATAATTCGGATAAGAGAGAAATTTTCTGCTATTTTCTACTTGATTGATAGCCTTCCAGCATGCTTCTTGAATTATGTCGGTGAAACTCATTATTGCTGTATCTACTTGTTCGGAAGTTTTTAAGGGTATATTACAATTTACGTTTGTATCTATGTATTTTTTAAACTCGAGTCCATTTGGTACTGCTATTGTATAAGTATATTGTTTCGTTTGTGCGTGTTGGTTTCGATAAATAATTAATGAGGATCGGAGAATGGTCAGAGATAAGATCTAAACAAGACTGGACTTCGAGCTAATATTTACGCAGTCCTTTGATTATTGCAAAGTCCAGTAGGACTGGAGTTTTTTCTTGTGCTGTCGCTCAGTACGTAGGTTCACCAGTTGTAATTGTATCTAATGAAAGTTTTCGTATTGCATGTTCTAAGGTTTTGCCCCGTGGTGAATTGTTTTTGGAGCCCCATAGGTTATGTTTAGCATTATAATCGCCGCCAGCGATAAATTTGTTCCCCAATGAATTGAAAAAACTTTCATATTATTGTACAGATATTTTTTGATTTGGAGTATATGTGTATCGGCGATCAGGCATTGAGCAAAGAGTGTTTAATATCCTGTTTAATGATTATTATCGCTGATCCGCCGCGTGCACTGCCAGATGAGTGCTTGGCATCATATACATTATATTATGGAATTATGGAATATTATGGAATTTTAATATAATTTTTTGTAGCAAGATGGGTTTCTGCGATGATCGCTATGTAGATTTTATTAGTGTGTAAAAATAATTTCAACTTTTGTAGTCTTTGTTGTAACTCATTTGCGTTCCAAATTGCTATTTTCAATGTGTCCATTGTTGTTGATTGTTATTGTTTAGCATGCATGTGAGAAGTTCTATCATTTTATTACTTTGCTGTGATTGTTGAGTTAATGATTTGTTGTAGGAGCATATTAGTTATTAGTTCTGTAATTTTGGCTGACGTTATTAGTAACTTTTTCGTTTTAGACATGTTAAATGCTGATTCATCGTTTACAGTGGGTGAAACTGTTTCTTGCTTTTCGTGAGATCTAAGTACTTGAGCGTATTTTGTTCCTTTCTGTGTTATAGTGCGTCCTTGCGAAAGTGTTGTTATCATTTGAAGTCACCGTTTGGTTTGGAGAATTTGAATTATCTGCAATTGATTTGTGTCTAAGTCTGGGAAAAAGTTTTGTTGTAGCTGTTTTCTCACTATGCATCCCTTAAAACTAGCAGGATGGTTTCCCTGGCAGTTGTAGCATTTAACATCGCTTATTTTTCCTGTAGCAGGGCAACTCGAAGTCCAGTGTCTTTCTGCACATTTAACGCATGCAGGGCTCCTATTGCAATCGTTTTTAATGTGACCGTATGTTTGGCAACATATATATATATATTGCGGAATGTCTCTTTAAATCCGGGAGTTTCGAAAGATACTATAATGTTAAGCAGTCTATCTATTTTATAAATTGTTTTGTTATTTTCTTCAGGCTCGAGCTCAATGAAGAACAGCGGCAACGGTTATTTCGTGTCGTGCTTATTTATATTCTTTATTTGTCTTATCTGGTGGTTGGGTTCTTTAAGTTCATTACTTATTGCACTGGTGTTCGTTCTAGGATGCATCCCTAAGTACTACTTTGTAGCTTCTGTTTTTCTTCGGTTAATAGGTGTAGAAGTTTGCATTCTTTTCTTTCAAGGCCGAAGTAAGTTTCCTGTAGGTCTCGATGGTGTTGACTTGTACTTTGACATAGTTGTCTTTAAGTTGTTTTAAGGTAAAATTCTCGTTGGCTATATTGTTCATTAGGTCTATGAGGGACTCGATGATTTGAGCTTCAATGTATACTGGTGGGGGTTTCCGTATCGCTTTTGCTGGTTCTAACAGTCAATTCGTTAACTTCCATTAGGTTTGTCGTATTTATTGAATTGTTATTCTCGGTTTTTTGTCTAACAGAGTAGTTCTCTTCAGTTTTGATGAGTTTTAGCTGGATGTTGCTTTTTTGTGCCACTTGAAGTTTCAACTTGCCAAACGGCAAATTCTTTTGTCACTTACTTATACTAGCTGCGAGCAAGTGGATACACAAGTACACAATACAATGATAAATGGAAACTGAATTTCTTGAATGATTCGATAGAACCAAAAAGTGTTAAAAATCTTAAAAGTCTTGATGGATTGGAAAGGTGAACAAGCGAAAATCTAATTATTATTAAATGTTCGAAATCTATCAAGACTTTCAAGACTTGTAGTTCTAACGACTTATTCAAAACTAAAAGCTTACCGAGTTTTTCAAGATCATTATGGAATCAAATGATATTCCAAGTGCTTCGATTGTTCATAATATCGAAATGCTTCGAATTATTTCGAATACCGAGATTTGATCGACCATCGCTATTTCTAAGAACACATTCAGTACTGCAGTCGTTTTGTTGATAATTTGACTTCTTATCGAGATATGAAGGTGATCTTCATTTTTTTAAAGAAGAATGCTTACCATTTTTTACGTATACTTACTTCTTTATCTAGGCTTTTCTTATAAAATAAGTTATAAACATATTAACAGTAAGGTAATGGCGTA